ATTGCAAATCAAATTATTTCATTGGCAGTTCATGGCATACAGGGTATCGAACGTAAATACAAAATATATTGCACCGAAAACGGACCCGATAGCAGATTCGCGGATATTGATAATATAACGAATATAAATTTTGGGAACTAGACCTTTTACCAAAATAACTGGTGGCGGATATATATATTTCTTACATATATATCTTATACTCTCTCATACTTCTCTACATAGGCATATATATAATTTTCCGAAAACAAAATCAGCAGCATGCGATACGAACACGGTGTAATGTGATCACGGGAGACAAATAGGAACACTAGAATATAGGGTAACACAGCACTCTAGCTAACGCAGAAAATGACCACAAATGCTGAACCCTGTAACAATAATCGGGGTTGTGACATTTCATTATTCGTATATACCACCTGTGATTCACGTCAACAAATAATATTCCGGGGTAATTTCGCGTTTGTTTGTGTGGCCACCGCACCGGGGAGTTTAATACTCTACCTGGTGTTACCCTTACAACGACCCGTAATGAGTGTGGGGTACGGGTTCATCCGAAAATGGGTCATACCAAGATTTTATCCGTTTCAAATTCACGTCGTTCCTTCGTTTAACCGTTTTGTTACGATACATTTCGTTACAGTAGAACCTCACTCCATTAATTGTATGTAACAACAAAGGTATTTCTTGGCGTGATATGCGAACAGCGTATATCTAGCTGCGGAACAAACCTATATTTGGGTGTTAACATCAACGTGAAGACGTCTTATATAGCAGATGCATGTTACTTGATGTGTTACCAAACAAATGCGCCAAAAACAAGGTGGGAAATAATTTTGAAAATTATTGGCGTGAAGGATTTTTCGAATATTCGTTTAATCTTCAATAACAAACAGATTTAAATTGGTTACCATTACCTACATTACCATTGGCTACATTATTAAGCACTTCAGTATTTCGTGTTTTATGTTTTTGTTCGTTGTAATGGGCTTTTAAAGATGTTTTCCCTCGAAATCCATCGTTGTATCTAATCAAATTAGTGTTCTATGTAAGCATTTAGTGCATGAAAATATTTTGGTGAGATAGATCCAACACAAAAGCTATATTGAGTCCTGATGTTTACACTGGGAAAAGCATCCAATGCTTTTGTGCGCCGTAATATTTACACATCAACTCCAGAATGACTCGACATTTCTGCGTATATATCAGTCGTCGCTGCGGCATGCAAAATAATACGCAAATAAAACGAAATTTGTGTCATTATGCCAAAATATATCAAAGGATAGCAAGTTTATTTAATATATTATAATTTCCTGAATGCTGCTTTAGGCCCTACTATGGGGATCTTTATTTCGTTATTTAAATTATGTATCGTCACAGATTAGCATTCGTTCCCTAATCTCAACCCCACTGACGTGGTTGCCGTGCCGTCCACGCATGCTTAAGTAGTTTTTCAATGAAAGAACATTTTATTTACATTTTGGTTTGGTACATTTACATATGGCGCTTTATTGACATTTGGTCAACTATATTAATTCATTCACATACAAGGCTTGTTTGTGCTAAACGTGGTGTTTTGAACATTTTGTTGTGACAATCAAGAAATGGTCGTGTGTACGTGCACGCACATTTATAACAACTTTTTATCGGAGTGGCCGTTTTAAATAGTAGCCTATACACATCATACACATTAAATTTTGCAACGTTTCACGCAACGTTTGTGGTTACGATAATTAACGAATTAGATATTTAGACACTTATACCGCGACTCACTTAGTTGGCTTGGCTATGCGTTCGAAATTTCGATAAAAAACGTTTTACGTCAAGTGTTTTTTGTAAAGCACAACCGATTTATCATCTATTTAAGTGCAAAGTCCATCTAATTCTAGGCATTATGCAATATTCGTTCGGCACGCTTGGTCAGTCGTAAATATTAGGATTAACTTAGCGGCAACGAATGCCGGCGTGAATGTATTAAAACTAAATGTTTATTCTGTTGCCGTGCGTAAAAACTAGGCAACGCATTTACAGGATAAATCTTATTGAAGTTATGTTACTTTTCGCTACGTTTACGCAGGAAATAAGAAAGAAAAAGAACGTTTTGAAGGAACGAAAATGCAAATTGTTATGTCGTTTCAAAACACAATGTTGGAGAATAGAAGTTGTTGAACTGTTCTGAGAACCGCAAGTCGATACATATAGATATAAAATATTTGATAGCCTCTATTTTACTCAGGCCATCGGGCAATTTCCTTGTGTGGTCGCATATTTTACTTTTACACAGCGAGCATCGATACTTGTTACTATGCATACCCAACTTACATTGTTTTGGCTGTATGATCACGATAGAAATATAATATGGAATAAAAAATAGTATAGGCCAATTTCTCATCCAATTTTTGAACAAAAAATATTAAATACATTCTGTTAAATTTGTTTTTGTTTGAAGATTAACATGAAATATTGTTATGAGTGTGTACAGCGACATGCAATACGGTGGAAGAGAATTCCGGAGCCTTGCATGTTCATTGCATTAATTATGTTCAGGATGAATATTTTCTGACATATTTTACTTTCGTTGGGAGAATACAATTTTTTCTGCGTACATGCTGCAACTTGTAATGTGATTATAAATGTCTATTAACCGACTGATGCTACTCACAACGGTTCCTGTAAGGGTTTTATATACCACGCGTCCAGATCGCGCTTGTCGCCAACATACATAAGTCGGGAAATTGTTCGGCGGGTCCCAATTTTCACATAGATAAAACCTGTCGCATAACTGTGATGAAAATTATGCGCGGAGAAAGCATTGTTCGAATAAATAAATACATAATTGAATAAATAAAGAAATAAGTATATAAATAAATAAATAAGTAAATAAATGTAATATATATATAATGAATGCCCGACAGAGGACGATGTCGGCGCATACCCGCTACCACCTATCTCGCATTCTATAGTTTCACTTCGCCTGCGGCGGTGTCGGTGGCGGCGGCGGTAATGGTGGCGGCGGTGTACACACACACACACACACACACACACACACACACACACACACATACACCACGCACGCGCACACGCACACGCACACGCACACGCACACGCATCCACACCGCACACGCGCTCGCGCTCGCACATGTACACGCACACACACGCGCATATATCTACGCACGCACGCACGCACGCACGCACGCACGCACGCATATATATCACCGTGGGATCACGTTTAATCTCTGACTGCCGCATCATCCACTGCGATCCACCGCGTGAAATATTGCAAGCAAGCGCGCTGTGTTACCCTAGCTCATTACTGACCAAATGTGCGTTCTTGATAAGCGCGCGTGCGGTGGCGGGCATATAAAAGGCGCCGTGACTGCGTGCAATATTGCCGGTAATGTGACAGCGAGTTGACGGTGTTGTCACATGTACTCCGGCAAGCGACGGCAGCGCGGACGAATGACGCGCGGGCACAACGCGCGTAAACCTCAAATACGTCAGAAACAAATGCGGCAGCGGAGGATCAAGCATACAGCGACGTTTTGGTGCCAGCCGCGCACGGCTCATGCGCAGTAGTAGTCGCGCACCTGCTGTATTTCGACGCGCGCGCGTTGTATGTAGCACGGGTGTTGTGGAGAGCATCCGGACCTCTCGTTCGAACGGAAGCGACGCGGGTGCAACGTGATACCGACGTAACGTGTACGGACCATTATCAAGCAATTTCGTCATTCCGCCATTACGTGCGGGCGCGGCCGCAGCAGCAGCGTTATATCGCACGTACTCGGGAGGAGAGCTGTTTCGCTGTTGTCGAGCTTTCATTCAGCAGTGAAGGCTGAACATCGGCTGCGTTGGGATAGATAGATGTCGGCCATAACTCACTGACACGCGACTTACTGCGTCGTGCTAGATTTGAGCTGAGGGCGGCCGTCATCGGCAGCGATGTGCGTCGCACGACCCGATCGATGCTCTAGATTTCACACGTGAAGAATTGCTATAGCTGTACCTGTCAGCGAGTGTCGCGTCGGCGCGCCCTCTCTCTCTCATGCTGTCTCGTTCTCTCTCTCTCTCTCTCTCTCTCT